GACAAAATGATTGCCTGTTCGCACAGAGGTGCAGAAAGGTAATCGAGGGTGATACAGTTAGTTAAGGTGGGGGTGGTGGGTGGTGGTGTGTGTGTGTGTGGGGGGGTGTTATTGTGTAGGCAAGGACATCGAAGCTCAGAGCTAGATTGGAGATTTAGTTTTCAGCGAATCGAACAAAAATGTGTTCTCCAGTAAAGGACGTCTCGTATTTTCCTAATCTTTAGACAGTATAAGCAATGTTTCTTCCAGACTTTTTTTTTATCCTTGGGGGCACTTGAAATTTTCGGGGGGAGGGAGGCGAACAATGTTTATAAGCATGTTATCTATATAAATTCCATTTCGTTGGTGGGGGGGGGGCCGCAGGGCGGTAGACTCTCTTCGGGGGGGGGGGGGGGGCAGAGTATAAGTACAGTATAAGACAGTGTAATGATACTTTATATATATATATATATATATGTATATATATATATATATATATATATATATATATATATATATATAAATATATATATATATATATATATATATATAAAGACTTCCACTTCCATTGTCTTATGATGGAAGTTTATATATATATATATATATATATATATATATATATATTATATATATATATATATATGTATGCATATATATATGTATATATATATATATATATATATATAAAGACTTCCATTTTCATATATATATATATATATATATATATATATATTATATATATATATATATATATATATATATATATATATATATATATAAACTTCCATCATAAGACAATCTTTATAGCACGCCGCACAAAACAAGCCTCTAATGTTACATACAAGAGCCTAACGAAGACTCCCATCAAAATACCAACTATATAGCAGTCTGTACAATCAAGCCTCTAATGTTACATACAAGAACTTCACGAATACTTCCATTATAAGACCAACTTTATAACAGACGGCACACAACAAGCCTCTAACTTTACATACAAACACTTAACGAAGACTCCCATCAAAACAAACCTCTAATGTTGCATACAAGAACTTAACGAAGACTCCCATATTTAGACCAACTCTTTAGCAGGCCGCACATAACAAACCTCTAATGTTACATACAAGAGCTTAGCTAAGATCCCCATCATTAGACCAACTCTATAGCAGGCAGCACAAAAAACAAGAACTTAACGAAGACTCCCACCACAAGACCAACTCTATAGCCTCTAATGTTATATACAAGAGCTTAACGAAGACTCCCATTTTAAGACCAACTCTATAACAGACGGCACATAACAAGCCTCTAACTTTACTACAAGAACTTAGCTAAGATCCCCATCGTTAGACCAACTCTTTAACAGGCAGCACAAAAAACAAGAACTTAACGAAGACTCCCACCACAAGACCAACTCTATAGCCTCTAATGTTACATACAAGAACTTAGCTAAGATCCGCCAGTGAAGGCCCGCGACGTACCATGTCTAATGCCGCCAGTAAACCAGGAAATGGGCGCCGCAGTTTTCTGAAAGTCCCCCACAGTTCTCAGACTTAGCCCCCACTTGAAAGGGAAATTAGCCGAGTTAAGCGGATTATCGATAATAAATCGAACGCGTCTCGATCGTGTGATCGGAGAACCGAGGTTCGATATAGGGATCAATTGATCTATTGTGTTTTTCTGTAGAAGACGTTGAGCTGGTGTTTTAATTATGTATGTTTCTTATACGTGTGCTTCATGGTTTAGTATTTGTTTTACGTAACGTTGAGTGAGATTGGTAATGTTTACTTTTTATTGTATGTTTCTTAAAAAAAGATATTGGTGTAAAGTAGCATTAAAAAAATCTACCTGGTGTATATTACTTTATTTCATAGTTATATAAGGTAGGAGTGGTACATATCGTTGCTATAACTAAAACACTTTCTTTAATTTTATTTTCTTATTATTGCTTAATTTTTGCTTCAAAGAATGCTTTGCAAAATTAATATTAAAAAAAAATCTTCTAAACGTGTATCTAATCAAAACGTAAAATATAAAATCCTCTAAGATTGTGTGATTACCCATATATAATGTTAGAATTACAATAAAATCGTGAAGGGATGGGAATTGTTACTTGAGTTTTTACACGACAACGTTAAATACCGTCATATGTAATAGGCGGTTGGTCGAAATGACATATGCTTATGTTATATAGTATGAGCTTGATCTCTAAAGGAAAATACATTTACCAACTTAACCATCCTTCTGTGGGGGTAATCCATGTGTGTGTGTGTGGGGGGGGGGGATGTGAGAAATAAAAAAAGCACACCTTTTGGGGTCCCTCTAAAGTAGAGGTGTAAGGAAGGTGTGGGGGTGGGTGTGTCTAAAAATGTTATAATTGTGTGTACGTCATAAATTAGCGATGTTCGCCAGTAATTCTTAGAACCAATTTAAATTCTATACTTGTATTTTTTGGGGGGACTATTATTTAAGGATAATAGCGATGATGTTTGAGTAGGGTGGGGTGGGTGGGGGTTGAATGAGTCGCTTAAGATTCTAGCTCTACTCACACTGTTATTACCCAATCATTGTTTCTTCCAGACTTTTTCGGGGGGGGGGGGGGATGGACTAAAATTTCCGGGAGAGGGGGGGGGGGGCTAACATTTCCGAGGGAGGGGCGCTAAAATTTCCTGGAGGGGGCTGACACTGGTACAATTATGTTATATTTACTATATAAATTCCTTTTCGTTCGGGGGCGGGAGGGGGGTGGGAACGGTAGACGTTCTTCGGCGGGGGGCGGAGAAGAAATGCCTGGAAGAAACTGTACCCAATGTGATACCCCTAATTGATTTGTTTACACATGTGTATACAGCACATGGAAATGCCCATGTTTCCTTCTAATAACACCATCGAACAGAATATCAGTTATAGAACGACCGCTTAGCTTTAATCTTTTCATCTCGAAAAAAAAAGAAGCAAACATTTTTTTTTACTGCCAATCTGAAACTGTAATTTGTTCCATTAGGCCAAAGCGGCATGTTGTAAAGTTGCCACCGGACAAACAGAGAGCACCTGGCATGTACTGATAACAGTCGGCGTGGGCTCGAGTTTGTTAAAACTACAACTGGTTAACGAAACAAGTTCTTTATGTCTGAGAAGTACAAATATGAAATGTGTCTAATAAAACATAAGGTTCATACATGCACTGCGTAATGCACAATAAACTTAAAAATACAAATTCATTCTGACGCATATATATATATATATATATATATATATATATATATATATATATATATATATATATATATATATATGTATATATATATATATATATATATATATATTGACCTACCTGGAATTTTTTTAATAACACAACATAGCTAATTTTAAATGTTACTCAAATACACCTAGAAACAATACATTATAAGTAAATAATACTTATGTACCTGCCTGTATCCTATATATTTCGGACTGTTTATGTTGTGTCCGCATATATATATATATATATATATATATATATATATATATATATATATATATATATATATATTGATCTACCTGGAATTTTTTAATAACACAACATAGCTCATTTTAAAGGTTACTCAAATACATCTAGAAACAATACATTATAAGTAAATAATACTTATGTACCTGCCTGTATCCTATATATTTTTGACTGTTTACGTTGTGCCCACATGACCCTTATGCTGAAATCCCTGTGGCTCTTGTCGTAGTAATCTCTGTCTTAGACTATTGTTATTTGTTTATCCACTATGAGTATCCGAGAAGAAACCATTCACATTAGCGTGAGTCAAGAGAAGGTCGAAATAGTAATTTTCAGATTAGACACTTCCCACTTGTATGACGCGTGAAGATTATTTAGGACTTAGACCTGGCTCGCTGTCTTGTAAATAAAAGACCTTGCTTAGAGCGTTACCTGAAAGCTAAGACAAACAGTGTGTGTATGTGGGGGATGGGAGGGGGGGTTGAGGGGGGAATTTAAAACTAACTATTGCTTAATTGAATGGTTGAAGAAAGGAATTATGTTCTAATAATATTTTATATCACGTTTTCTTTTGCCTTTTTTTTTTTTTTACTAATACTTAAGTCATTACTTTCTCTATAGCTTTTGTGTCTGATATAAAAAATAATGTTTGTATATTACTTTTTAAAATTGATATCGACTACCCACCAGATATAACATCACGAAATGTTTTGATAAACATTAATATATTGCCATATACGTATACGTTATCTAATTATTTTTTTTACTAAACTTATCTTATGACTTTTTTTTTAGCTTCGTTTTCCCCTACATGGTTGTACTGCATTCTCATCTTTTATTGCTCTGGCATAATTAAGGTACGGAAAAGATTAAGATTTAGATCATTATTTCATTTTACTAAAAAATAACATTTCTTTCTATCGCAGGTGTTTTAAGAACAAGCACCGTTTCCAGTGATACTTACATCGGTGTTTATTTCACGTACAACAGGACATCTTTGTTTTTGTATCAAGAGGATAGCAAACAGAAACCGATTTTGTCTTAAACTCCAAAAAATTCTAGTGTCTTGGAGATAAGCGGTTAAAAAAAATGACTTAAAGTGTTATTTGAGGAGTTCATTGTATGCTCATAGCTATATATTTACTCAAATTTGTGAGAGTTAATTTATAAAGGCTGTAATTACTCCTTTATTTAAATGTGAATCGCGGTTCAAGTTGAAGTGTTCATATATGTGTGGGGACGTGTTTCAAGTTAAAGTGACACACTGTGTAACTTTGTGACCAGTATCAAATCTTGTGACAAATAAGTTGTACGGCTGGATAATTTATTTCATATCAATGTGACACTTAGTTTAAAATTTGTGACAACTATACCCCAGTTGTGAGGTTGGTGTCTCAAGTATGTGACAAAACCCTGAAAATGTGACATATAATCGATAGCTAATCTTCAAAAAGTTTCAACCTGGAACAAATCTCCTCCGTTGCCACAATCACGTAACTTGTGTGGAGATTAGAGCTTGTGTTTAGAAAGTCAGTTAGAGAAATGGATGAATGGAACCCGGCGATGAAGCAAGCGAGCGGCTACAGTAATGGTTTTCTTGAGACTAGAAGACAGACACCCAAGAAACCCCGGAGTAGGAGAGAGGTGAGAGGTTATATTGACATTAGATGGGTCATAGAAAGGTGAAAGGTTATGTTTACGTTAGACTGTCAGTAGATAGATGAAAGGTTATATTGACATTAGACGGGTCATAGAAAGGTGAAAGGTTATGTTGGCATTAGACGGGTCATAGAAAGGTTAAAGGTTATGTTGACATTAGACGGTCAGTAGAGAGATGAAAGGTTATGTTGACATTAGACGGGTCATAGAAAGGTGAAAGGTTATGTTGGCATTAGACGGGTCATAGAAAGGTTAAAGGTTATGTTGACATTAGACGGTCAGTAGAGAGATGAAAGGTTATGTTGACATTAGACGGGTCATAGAAAGGTGAAAGGTTAAGTTGGCATTAGACGGGTCATAGAAAGGTGAAAGGTTAAGTTGGCATTAGACTGGTCAGGAGAGAGGTGAAAGATTATGTTGAATTTTAAAGGTTATGAGAAAGGTGAAAGGTTATTGCGACATCGGACGGGTCAATATAGAGATGAAATGTCATGTTGGCATTAGACGGGTTATGAGAAAGGTGAAAGGTTGTGTTGACATTTAACGGGTCCGGAGAGAGGTGATAGGTAATATTTACATGAGGTGGAGTAGGAGAGAGATGCATGTAAGAAAACTTCCTATAAGACCTTGCCCTTATGACTTTACTTGTAGTTATAACATATATATCCCTAAAAATTGCATCAATGTACACATTTAAAAACTACTTAATGGTTGCACAATTTAAAAAAAAATGGCAAGGACACTTTCGTTGAGTTATTACTGTATAACAAACAAAAAGTTAAAAATCAAATCGGATGCACATTTCGAATTACGAATATAAACATTCCAAATAAATTATTACCTTTGATGGTTTATGTTAGTTATAAGAGTCATGGTATTTATAGTTCTATATTTTAACCTTGTCTATTTCCAGTGGCGGAACTTGATGTCCATGTCTTTGGACCGGAAGCGACCGACGAGGGACGCCGCCCAGACGGAAGAAAACGACACGCAGATGCTTCCGCCCATCTCAAGGAACTCTGGGAACGGTTCGGGAACAAGAACCGAACCAAGTTCCCCCAGACTCGCGGCGTTACCCCAGAACCACCTCTACAGCCAGATGAGCGTTTCTAGACTCGGCGTCAACGGGAACACGACTCCTGACGCGACGGTTAAGTCCCATGTTAGCCATAGCTTTGACCTTGATCACAGACAATTTCCTGTTTCGCACCCTGGGATACATCAAGTTGAAGGTCATACGTTGGCTACTCCTAGTCTTGGGAAATACGAAAACGTACAAAACACAAACAAATTGGTTGGATATTCACATCTGAATTTAGTTAACGAAGCGAGTAAAAATTCCAACTTTTACACTTTCGATAAAGAAAGACGTGTCATCAAATTTTTAGCCGAAGACAATTCCTTGCATCTGTCGCCAACACTGAGGCGTAACAAGGTCCTCTCAACCCAGGCGGCGCCCGCCCAGCGACGCCCCAGCAGGGAGAAGAAACTCGTCTTCAAAAAATCCAACCTCAAATCTCCCCCCAAACTCACCGCATCGGAAGAACCGTTTTCGATTCGCAGAAAAATTGAACAATTCCGGAAATGGCATGAGGAACATTACACCGATAAACTAAACCTCATGCGATTGGATGCTAATAATAGTAACAGTGTGAATAAAACTTCAACGAAAACATTCCCCGGTGTCGACTTTACTAAAGTGCTTGAACAAAGTATAACCCAGAACAGGAAAGAGGAAACAATTGAAAATAAAACAGATAAGAACAATAACTCTAAATTTGTTGACATAACACAAAGAGGACTTGTGACGCATATCCGGTTGCGCCCGGAGACGACGTCCACGTGGAAAACATGGCGGGGTGTCAACGAGAGCTACGCCTACACCAACGTGGATACCTACATCCGGGACAATGAACTTATGGATGAGGAGAGGAAGGAGTGGATTCAGTTGTGGTTACGAGATGTGAATTTGGCTATGGAAGATGTGGATGTCGATGCGAAAGAGTGTCTGCAATAAAATATTTGGTTGCGTCATGTTTTTTTTAAATAAAATGATATATTTAGAACAGTGAATTTTTTTTGTAAATACATAAAGAAATAACATGCATAATCAATCATAATCATTAAAAGTTATGGAAATATTGTATATGAACTCAAACGCATGTCCGCACACATGCAAACAAACACACAAACTAAACTTAATGTGACCATTCAGTTTGGTATTTCATTGTATAAATGCAATTACGGTACCGAATAGAATAAGGGTTGAAAGAAGGCAGTGCTAATAGCGACAATAATCTCATACATAAGTGGTAGGTAGGACACCTAATTTGTGGTGCTCTACCTCTAGGCCATGCTAGGCTGCTAACCCGTAAGTCTCGAGTTCAATCTGGGTTCAAGTCAGTAGACCGTCCTGAGTTCACTCAACTCTGATGGGTACCTAACTCACGTTAGGGAAAGTAAAGGTGGCTGGGCATAGTGCTAACCACACTATCCGTTCATATGCCGAGGTCAAGAAACTTATATAGTTCATCTGCCAAATGGATCGCTAGGTCTAAAAATAAATCTTTACTTTTTTACTTTTAAAATTCATGACACTTTTATCTCAAGGGAGTGATGTGTCATTTCTATACGCGTGACTCGTACTTGGTGGTAGTTTGCTTATACAGAATAAATCGGGGTGGTCAAGTGGTAGAGCGTTTGATAATGACTTTAAAACACCTGTCTCGAATTACAAGCTGTATTCTGTCTCATTAGCAGAGTTAACTCAGCTTTGATGAGTACCTGTCTCAAGTTGTGGAAAGTGAAGACGGCATGGTGTAGTGTTGAGCACACAGTCTATTTTTATGCCAAGGTCTAAGAAACAGACGAACTCTACTTTCAGTAGCCTACAGACCAAAGTGACTTTACAGAATCCAACTTTAAACATTCACATTCAATACAACACTAGGAAACCATGGGATAATTAAAAATGGCAGGATTTTATTCAAAAGTTGTAAAATTTGGAATGTTCTAGTTTTCCTCCTCTAACAGATACGATTTCCCAGCATTCTGTACGGCGTCCATGACTCTCCTGGCTAACAAAGCCACGACGCTGGTTTGGTTCCGGATGGCGGAAAACGACGTGAAAATGGGCGGGGCGTAAAGGTGGATAAAATGGAAAGCTGCAACACAGAGAAATTAACAACATTAATTACACTGTTTAATCAACACTGTTTGTTTGGAAACCAGTGTAGTAATAACATAATGCTCTTCACGTTATTTACAATATTTGTAGTGTAGTTGGCGTTTTTATATAACGGTGTAGGAATATGTGGGAAAGCAAATGCTCTAGACATGGAATAATACATACAGTGTGGATGCATATTTTGTAGGACTATAAACAATAGTGATAAGCTGAGTAAAATAATGTTCTTTAACGGAATAATACAGTGAAGCTGCTGAAGTAAAAGTAAAATATTCTTTTGAACGTGGAGGTCAAGGGTGACGTGGTGTTCAATTGTTTCTGTGACCTCGGCATAATAGGAATAATGTGATCAGCCCCAACCACCTATACTTTCCCTAATAAGAGTCAGGTACCCCTTAGAGCTGGGTGGACTCAGGGACGTCATACGAACTAGAGTCCGAGATCCGAACCCGAGACTTTCGAGTTAGCAGCCGTACGCTCTACAACCCGACAACGTCGTCCAATACAGTGACTAGGCTATTTTCGTTTACATTTGGTAATATTCAGTAAACAAATAATCTTTATCATAAAATAACATTGTAGATGCTATGTTCGTGTATCCATAGCGATGATGTACAGTGTATGAATTCTCTGTGACGTAAAGCAATACATACAGTATTCTTGCTATGTTCGTTCAACTGCGGTCAATATTTTAGTTAGTGAGTTCTCTTTGACACAGCATAACACAGACAGTGCAGGTGATATGTTAAACTCAAGCGACCAACCGTTTGTCTCTTCAATGTTAAATCTGGTTGTGGGAGTCCGTTCTTCATAGCCCCTGAGGTAGTTGTTGTGCCAGATAGGGTGGCAGATGTTGTGGTAACAGATCACCTGAGGTGGGGAATAAATCCACATTTATATTTTTATCACTTGAGGTGGTAAATGAATCCACATTCATATTATTTGAAGTGGGAAATAAATCCACATTTATATTTTTATCACCTGAGGTGGGAAATAAATCCACATTCATATTTTATTACTTCAGATGTGAAATGAATCCACATTCATATTATATTACCTGAGGTGGGAAATAAATCCACATTCATATTTTATTACCTGAAGTGGTAAATAAATCTACATTCATATTTTATTACTTCAGATGTGAAATGAAACCATATTCCAGAGGCACCCCCCCCCCTCAAGATTTCGATTTGCACCCCCCCTCAAGATTTCGATTTGCACCCCCCCCCCCCCTCAAACTTTCGTTTTGCACCCCCTCAACCTTTCAATTTATTTTTTCCAACTCATTTTGGCGCCCCCTAAGGTCGGCGCCCGGGGACATATGTCCCCCCCCGCCCCCCCCCCCCCCCTCGCTACGCTACTGCCATATTCATATTATATTACCTGAAGTGGTAAATAAATCCACATTCATTTTATATTACCTGAACTGTGAAATAAATCCATATTCATATTTTATCACCCCACCCCTCTATTTTATTACCTGAAGTGGTAAATAAATCCACATTCTTATCATTGAGGTGTGAGATAAATCCACTTTCATATTTATCACACGTGGAGTAAAATAAACCCACATCCATAGACAGGTGGATTGGATACTGACCTGCAGCTTGGGGTCAATGTGCACCAGATCCGGGTGCCTCTCATAGAGCTTGTAGAACATCAGCACCGAGTTGAAGGCCCACATGTCGTCCCTGTAGTACCTGCACCCGTTGGATCATGTGGGGGGGGGGGGGTGTATTTCGACGAATGACGGTAACCACAAGAAAAGTAACACATGTATAGGAATTGTCAACAGTCAGGCATCTGGCACTGTCGTCCCCCCCTCCCCCAGCAGCACGTCTACCATCCCCGCTCCCCCCCCCCCCCCCCCAAGGATGAAATTGAAACAAAAATATAATTTATTTAGAAAATATAAAATAATAAATAGGAAGTTTCAAGAGCCCCACCCTTGTAGAAAAATGTCTGAAAGATACACTTATTAAATGTGTCAGTTAATACACTTTTAGAAAGCTGTCATCAAGTTGTGTTAGGTTTCTTGAGAAATAAAAACAACTAATACCGTCTTAAGTACTTCGTTATGATAAATCTAGTGTACAAGATAGATAAAATTATTGGTGTAAATAAATGGTCTGTTTGTTATTTTCATGCCCTAATTTTTTTCTATAATTCTTTCGATGTTAAACATGTTACCCGAATGACTCTAAGATTTCCTACAAAACTGTCATGGTCAATCCAATTACCAGAATGACTCTAAGAATTGCTACAAAACTTTCATGGTCAATCCAATTACCAGAATGACTCTAAGATTTCCTACAAAACTGTCATGGTCAATCCAATTACCAGAATGACCAGGGGCGTAGCGAGGGGGGGGGGCGGGGGGTGCGGACCGCACCAGGTGACACCATTTAGAGGAGGTTGACACCAAGGCAAAAAATAGCAAAATATATAGAGAAAAACTTGAGAAGGGGGTGCAAATCGAAAGTTTGAGGGGGGGGGGGGGGGGAGGTTGCAAATCGAAAACATGAAAGTTTGTCCCCGGGAAGGGTCGCTACGCCTCTGGGGGTGACACCATTAAGTGCCGCACCGGGTAACACCCGACCTCGCTACGTCACTGAGAATGACTCTAAGATTTGGTATACAACTGTTATGCTAAATCCAATTACAAGAAGGACTAAGATTTATCAGAAAGCTGTCATGGTCAATCCAATTACCAGAGTAATTTGCTATACAACTCTAAGAATTATTAGCCGCCAACTGTAATGGTGAATTTGTCAGAAAACAGTCATGGTCAAATCAATTATCAGAAGGACTCTAAGATTTATTAGCCACCCACTGTCATGGTCAGTCCAATTAACAGAAGCACTCTAAGATTTATTAGCCACCAACTGTCATGGTCAGTCCAATTACCAGAACGACTGTAAGATTAGCTACAAAACAGTCATGGTTACTCTAATTACCAGAAAGACTCCAAGACTTTCAACAAGAAGGGGGCTCCGGCCTTGGACACCAGCAAGCCATTGCTGATTGTTCTTGGCCAGGGGTCGACGCGGCCCCAGTCGTAGCACATGATCGTCGGGTACCTCCTCTGGCTCTCGGAGAGAGGCTTGACCCAAATGACGTCATTGTCCTAAACAGTAATGGGTGTAGCAATTTAAATGTTAACTATAAGAGTTAAATCACATAAGGAAAAACAAGTGTATGACTCAAATCTATTAAAAACAAACCAATTTGACTTTAACCACTGCTTATGTCATATATTTGCCTAATCACACATAAACATATTTGCCCAATCAGATACAAACTATCCCATGAACCCTTCCTTAACTCAGACATTAGGCCAATAATATCAAGTATACCCTTTGGCCAACAATATTAAGTAAACCCTTTGGCCAACAATATTAAGTAAACCCTTTGGCCAACACTATTCAGTAAACCCTTTAGCCAACAATATCAAGTAAACCCTTTGGCCAACAATATCAAGTAAACCCTTTGGCCAACACTATCAAATAAACCATTTGGCCAACAATATCAAGTATATCCTTTGGCCAACAATAGCAAGTAAACCCTTTGGCCAACAATATCAAGTAAACCCTTTGGCCAACAATATCAAGTAAACCCTTTGGCCAACAATATCAAGTAAACCCTTTGGCTAACAATAATAAGTAAACCCTTTGGCCAATAATATTAAGTAAACCCTTTGGCCAACAATATCAAGTAAACCCTTTGGCCAACAATAATAAGTAAACCCTTTGGCCAACAATATCAAGTAAACCCTTTGGCCAACAATATCAAGTAAACCCTTTGGCCAACAATAATAAGTAAACCCTTTGGCCAACAATATCAAGTAAACCCTTTGGCCAACAATAATAAGTAAACCCTTCCTTAACTCTAGCATCTCTATTAGGCCAACAATATTAAGTAAACTCTTTGGCCAGGAATATCAAGTAAACCCTTCCATAACTTATACATCTCTATTAGGCTAACAATATGAAGTAAACCCTTTGGCCAACAATATCAAATAAACCCTTTGGCCAACAATATCAAGTAAACCCTTCCCTAACTCTTACATCTTTCATTAGGCCAACAATATCAGCTAATCAACCAATGTTAAATATACGTCCTCCTCCATAAACTAACACGTGACAGTTCTCTCGTAATTCAAATCACAACACGGTACACCGATACAAACAAAACCTTTCCGGTGCTACGACATAAACAAACCCCATAAATTAAAACAAGATTCAGGATTGTCATGGGGGACTGACAGGAAAATTACCGGTGACCGACAAAAGTGGAGGGATCTTTCTGTGGAGGCCCCATTTGTCTTGGGCACAAAAAATAAAAGATGATAAGTTAAAAAAAAACAACAACACAAAACCATGACCCCTCAACAGGTAAGATACATTTAGATCGTTGACCTCATTATGCACGTGACCTCAACTTCTAAAAATAAACCTGGTTAAAATATCAGGTAAGGCGTCGTCCTACAATGATGTCATGATAATTTTGACGATTTTTTTAATGCCCCCTTTCCATCATCATAAAAAATGAGGTAACCGCCTAATAAGATGTCATTCATCTTGTCGCATAAGCCGAGTGCCATCATTTTATGGGAGACGTTTTTCTTTCTCGAATATGTAATGGCTGCTTTGACATAGGTAGGTTAATCTAACACGTTTTTATATAGTTAAAAAAAATGTCCTTAAAAAATAAAATGTACTTTAACAATTCGTTTTTTTTCTTCTTTGCTATTAATTCTAGTGGTTGAAGGGATTTACTTCAACACAATTAAGTATTACGTGTCAACTGGTTATGCGCCGTTGAATCCGATTTCAACCTGCTTTTCATTTTGGATTTGCTTTCATAGCCTTTGTCCAACCAAGAACAAACTACAAGGCAGCAGTTGTTTGATTTTGTAGTTGTCTCTCCTAGAAGAGTGGCTGTCCCCAGCTAACGAGCCTCATCTGCCAGAGAAATCGAACTCGAGACTTTTCGGTTAAGCAACACGAGCTTTACCGACTCGAAATTTAAAAATATTATTCAATTTTAAAAGATCGGACCCTTATCCCACATAAGTGTGACGTCATAAATGACGGAGACTTTATTAACAAAAAATTGAGTGACTAAATTTAGAACCAACGTTGTAAGTGCCGCCATATTTGTAGAGTAGAAGAACTCGGAGGATATCGGCTCGGTGGGCCATGACATTGACTTCCTGCTGGAACACAGAGCGGGGCTGGTCGACCTGGGTCAACAAGAGATAGTACGTAGGTGACAAGCATAACATTGTACACAACATAACATTGTACACAACATGACAGTGTACACAACATAACAGTGTACACAACGTAACTGCCTACACAACGTAACTGCCTACACAACATAACATTGTATACAACATAACATTGTACACAATATAACATTGTATACAACATAACATTGTATACAACATAACATTGTACACAACATGACAGTGTACACAACATAACAGTGTACACAACGTAACTGTCTACACAACATAACATTGTACACAACATAACAGTGTACATACCATAACAGTGTACATAACATCACATTATACACAACATAACAGTGTACACAAAATAACAGTGTACGTAACATAACTGTGTACATAACATTACAATAATACTGACAATAAAAAGGTACATCATAAAAACGCACGTATCATTGGCTTGTACTACAGACTACTATCATGTACAAACCATAACAATGTACACATTATAAACATGTACACACCATTATGTACCTCAATAACATGTACAAGCTATGTAAGTTTGTATATTTTTACATTAAATAGTTTCCTTTCAAACATGACGGTATATAAGGCAAGTGAAATAGTTCACCTGTTTTTGCAACCTCGGCTTATAAAGAGATAGTGTGGTCAGCTCTATACCTAGACGCCTTTACTTTCCCTCAGAGCTGAGTGGACTCATGGACGTTTACAGACTTGAACCTGGACTTGAAACCTTCGGGTTAGCATTCGTATGCTCTACCTTTCGACTACAACATACACCATTAAAATATACACACAAAGAACATATAAACTTCATTACAATGTATGTGCAATAACAACATACACACCATTTTACATTAGACATTATTATACTCTACACTTTTACGCGTACAAAAGTATGAAGGCAATAAAAACAGCACTGCAAACTGAACAAAAAACACTATAAACACCATTATAATGCACATTATAAAAAGTAAAAATATTGCAATGTTTATAATTGAATGCTTCTGCAACACAACACTTACGTATACACATATACTACACATCTACCACCCATGGCAACACTTAAGGCTACACATCTACCACCCATAGCAACACAACAGTTAAGGCTACACATCTACCACCCATAGCAACACAACAGTTAAGGCTACACATCTACCACCCATAGCAACACAACACTTAAGGCTACACATCTACCACCCATGGCAACACAACACTTAAGGCTACACATCTACCACCCATAGCAACACAACACTTAAGGCTACACATCTACTACCCATGGCAACACAACACGCCCAACTAGTTACCACTTACATAGACGAATGTGACGTTTTCGTGCAACAGCTTATCCCACCAGTACCCTGATGGTTTAGTATCGCCGTGTACAAACACTCTAGCAAATATATATAAACATTTTCAAGTAAAGTCATAACCTTAGAGAAACAAGTAATATCGACAAGTTAGATCTATAAAGTATGATTATCGTGATACAATCATTAAAGAAAATAATAATAATAATAATAATAATAATAATAATAATAATAATAATAATAATAATAATAATAATAATAATAATAATAATAATAATAATAATAATAATAATAATAATAATAATAATAATAATAATAATAATAATAATAATAATAATAATAATAATATTAATATTAATATTAATAAGAAGAACAACAACAAAAGAAACAATAAAAAAGTAATAATAATTTAATAATAATAATAATAATAATAATAATAAATAATAATAACAGCAAAAATAGTAGGTAAAGGATAATAATAGATTCAAACAACGTTCTATTATTTAAAAACAATTGGGAATGCTATACAAACGTTATATTGACATGTTGGATATAGCAATGTATGAATCTCGTATCAGAGATGTTTCCGTATACATAAACTTTATCAAGAAGAGAAAAATCATTCAAGCAACATTGTTCAAACAAATTAAAGTGTTATATAAAAAATATGAATCTTGTATTCTAAATACCGTCGGAACAAAGATCTGTCTATATATTCTAAGTTAAAACTAAAATAAAACGCAATTGTCGATGATATCATGGGCACATCATGGGATAAATGCTGCAAAATAGACGAACAAGAATGTATTATTTAATTCTATTTCATTGTAAGTTTTAAACCATTCATACCTTTATATTTAGCAAATAAATAAACACGGTGAGAAAACGGTCTAATTAAAAAAATCATGCTTTACACATAAGTTATATTAACAAGCTTTGCGTATATAAGTATAAAAATATCGTATTACATATATGTTCGTGTCCATTCACTATAAATAATTAAACTAATTCAAAAAATGAACATGTTAAACATGTTAAACAATATAAACTAAGGAATAAAGACAGACTAGACATGACAAAATATGAATCGTGTGTTGCATAATTTATAAGACTAAGTCAAGTGAGAAATACCACCGTAATTTATACAAAGGTAATTTATAATTTACCATGTCAAAAGTTAATCTCTCGGACTTGCATTTGTGACTGTAGATTGATGAGACGTCAAAACATTTTGGTCTAAGTTACCTGTGTGGATTTTTTTGTTTTCCACGGTAAAATTACAGTAAAACATACAGTATAAGGAAATAGTCGAACTTTGTTGAACGTAAATATTACAGAAAATATAAGTTTACTGAAATAGTCGAAATTTTGCCAATTTTGTTGAAGATAAAACATCAGTTTACGGAAATTTTCGAAACTTTATCTAACACCACAGAGATTTTGAATAAAAAAATATTTTATTTTATTATTTATTCCGCCTTTATAAAAATTATAATTTCTTTAATTTTCACAATTCCATTTTTTTTCTTCAACGATACTAGATTAGTCAGATAGCACGTAGACACATGTCCGATTGATGAGATGTCAAAACATTTTGGTCAAAATTACCTGTAGGTCTGAGGTGTGTGGAAGTTTTTGTTTTTCATGGTAAAATTACAGTAAAACATTAAAAAAATTGTTGCAGTTTTTTGGACGTAAATATAAAGGTAAAACATCAGTTTAGTGAAATGGTCGAAATTTTGTAGAACGTAAATATTAAGATAAAACATTATTTTACCGAAATGGTCGAAATTTTGCAGAATGTAAATATTAAGATAAAACATTAGTTTACTGAAATGGTCGAGATTTTGTAGAACGTAAATATTAAGATAAAACACCAGTTTACTGAAATGGTCGAAAGTTTAGCTAACATTACAGAGATTTAGAATTAAATGAAAAACTACTTTACTTTATTATTTTATTTTCGCTTTGAAATAAATTATTCATTATTAGAGCTGCAGTTGTTTCTTTAATTATATTTGAAGAGAACTTCGGATAAAATCAAAGTTGTCTACAACGATACTAGGATGGTGAGGGATCAAGTAAATCTACAAGTGTTCGGTAATAAGAGCAGAAAGTCACATTAATAGTGTATATACGCTTCTAACATACATATGTTCTGTCTGTTAACTTGTAACATACACAAGGCTGATACAAGTCACATTGCTTGTGTCTAAAAACTTTCAACACAGAATTCTGATACAAAGTAATACACATTGATTGTGTTTACGAACCTTTCAAAGCCTCCAACGTACAAGGCCGACAAAACAGAGATATAGCCTTCAAATGACCATATGACTGGACTTCCAGGTTTAGGGTTAAGGAAGATCATGTGGTTAATAAGCGGCACCAAATCAGATGGATCCTGGTGTTACATTATATATATATATATATATATATATATATATATATATATATATATATATATATATATATACATATGTATATATATATATATATATATATATATATATATATATATATATATATATATATATATATATATATATATATATATATATATATATATATATATACATATATATATATATATATATATATATATATATATATATATATATATATATATATATATATGACAGTTTTAATCAATACAAAAATACACAACTTATGAGATAACAAAATGCCAAATTCTTAGAAAAATCAAGAACCAATGGAGCAGAAATTCGCTATCTATAATTTTCTCTATAATCTAACCTCTGATTGTTTAGCATACAGACCGTCAGTTCTCCCATAGTAGAGCCACCTGAGTACGGCGTTAAATCTGGATGTGTTGGTGAGGATATTTTCCGGATACATTGGGCTGGACAGAACAATACACGGTGATATATACGTCGTATTGACCAACACACTGGAAACAGTAGCCCAATTATCGAACTCTTGGGGTGTGTGGCATTGGTTCGGATCCCTGAGAACATTTATTTTAAACTGTTGCATATCTTCCTGTTTTAAAGCTTGGTCTTGTTTTATCATCACGATCGTATCTTCGCTACTCGAAGCATTGGGTTTTGTGTAAACAAAATAGTTTTTAGTTTTCCAATCCTCTGGGATGTACGTCAAAACAGCTCTTTCACCAAAATAAAAACCTCCCCCCTCCTATTGATGCGATTTGTTCTAAAGCGAAATCCACAGCATCCATTGTGTTGCATTTTATAACTCTGTCTATTTTTCTTAAGTCTAAGTTAGGCAGCGATTGTCTCAGCTCGTAAAACCAGGAATAATAAAAATACCCACCTTCGTTTGGAAGATAATTATAATAAAAGACTAATCTTAACGGACTTAATATACGAACTATGCTCAGAAGTCCCAAGAATACTTCAAATTTTAAAACTTTATTCTCACACCACACGAAATGAACAGTCGTAGGCAATGCGCCTGGTAATTCAGTTCTTGTAGTCCCAGAACTTAGAATATCTCGAAACATTTTCGGTTCGTCGGTTGCTTTAAGTCTTGCATGTGGAATCTTTGGAATAAATTTTTCATTTTGTGTTTTTGTTTTCGACGAATTTAAATTACTTTCAAGTTTCTTTAGATTTTCCTCGCACTTACGTAACTTAGATACACTATCATTGCAATTGCTTAACTTAGCTTTGTTTTCTTCGAGTTCATAATTTAATTTTAAATTGTCTTCCTCGCATTTCGTCAATTTTGCACGAATTTTTTCATGGTGAAAACTTAACGTCGACATATTTTGTTCGCATTGTATAAATTTTAACAATGCTCGCTCGCTTCTGTTGAACTGTTTAGTCACAGAATAGTTTAAGCTCGATAAACCACGATTATATTCTTTTAATTGTAAGACGCAGTCGTCTTGGGCTGTAGGGTCACTGTAGTGGTTGTATCCGGAGAAGAATGTTAGAACAAAAAACACCGTTGCTGTTAAGTTCCACGCGATAAAGATGTAGGTGACGTTTTTGGATGGCTGCATTCTCGCCGAGTCCGACAGGTAAAAATTAATGTCACCTTCTTATAGTGCTCGCGTCTCATGGCAGGCTAGTAACATAAAAACTTCCGTGATGTACTGTAAAGTCTCTAAAAATTTGGTTATTTATCACGTTTGAAAATTCCAGTGCCTTTGCTTTAAAAAATTGACATGAATTTATTAAATACATTCGTAAATTAGTTATTTTAAAATAATTAACAAATTAAAAATATATAATTATATAGCTATTTTAAATTTATATTCAGTTTCCTCAACTAGCGTGTGAGTATAAGTTGTGTAGTTGATTAAAGAAGGGGCATGAATGGGTTAATGTTGTGAAGTCTACTTGTTGATCTGGTAAACATCCTATCTTTGCCCGTTGGTATTTTTAATTTCAGATGTCCGTCACGTTTTCGTTAGAGTCTAATTTATTAAAGTTGTACGGGCTTATACAATAGAGATAAAGGATTGAACTTTTACTCGCTTCAATGTTATTTGGTAGATAATAATTCATAATAAAGTTTACTCTAGTTTGTAGTTGATTTGTTGTAAATAATATTTTCATTTATTGGGACAAGAGTACTAGGAGCCCACCAAAAATTCGCAAACGGAAAAGTAAGCAAATACAATTATACGAATCCATTTTAATTTTTTCATATTTTGTGGAGGAATGTTTTGTTATGTTACAAGGTACTAGTTGTTATTCTTTGTTAATGTCTATAAATGCTCGATTTAAAACAAAACAAAACAATTCCTTGTGCACTTTTTTGCAAGCAGTTTTCCGTTGCGCAGTTTTCCGTGTGCTTGGTATAATCTATTATGTTATTTTTGTTTTAGAATTAATTTAAAAAAAGTATTTATTAAAATAATTTGTTTAACGAGGATTTGATTGATTCGTAATGTCAAGTATTACGTGTCCTATATGCTTAGCTTTCTAGGTCTGTGTCAAGCTTACCTGTACGCTATATTCTAGCCTGGGGGGAGAAAATGGGAGGGTTGGTGGCAGTGTTTTGTTTTTCAGGGACATCTAACTTGAAGAGGGGGGACAACATTGAACTCCACATTGAGAGATGCCCCACCCATCACAAAATTATAAGTGCCCCCACACCAGAGAAAAATGTCAGAAAGAAACCCTGGTTGATGTTGCTCCGTGTGCAGTTTTTTTCAAGCGTCACACACTAAAGTTTAGCAATTGGAAACTAGCTTAAGCTAAGAGACTTTTAGTAAATTGATAACAGCTCAAACTGCTTAGACAAAAACACAGACAAACAGACAAATTACACTAAGTTTTTTCCTACTCAGAGAGGCGTAAAACATCGAGATTTCTCAAAACCCACCTCGATTTTGAATTTTTGCACGATTACAATACTTTCTCAATACTTCGTATTCGAGAAAGTAAAAAGATTCGAAAACTGGGATTAAAATGCACAATTTCCATTCTACGCATAACTTGAACCAATCATAGATTCGTGTCATTAGTTTTTAACTGAACTTTAAATGTTTAAAAATTGTTCATTAAAATAACTATAAAATAGGAGTATTGTTTATTTTTAAATTTCTAAATTATAAACCATAATCATTTTATAAAAAATTCTAATTTAGTTTAGAATGTAGATAATTGCTTTTGAAAACATAGAGAAAACACATATTTTACAGTATATATTTTTAAACGAAAGGAAAGCGATTTGGCTGCTCATGAATTACGTGCTATGCGTGACATAATTATGGGCATGAAGGCGCAAAATAATAAGGAATATAAAAGTTTTTATATGTTTTAAAGAACATAAGCTGGTGTTAATTAAATTTACATAACATTGTCATACTTTGGCTACTTTCCCATTCAGATTTACATTCTTTCTCTTAGGCAATAAACACAAAAAAACATGGTGTACAATTTAGCATTACAATATATATATATATATATATATATATATATATATATATATATATATATATATATATATGGCCTTGTCTTTATCAATTTGAATTGCACAACAGATGGAATTTCAGTGTACAAAATGTATTTCGGACACTGAATTAATGTATACAGCACCTTCACCATCATACCAAAAGTAAAAAAAAAATAGAACGTTACTTCATGTGCAGTAAACACATTTTTATTTCTCTTAAAATTCAAGGTGGCAGTATTAATGGCTCGAGGAGCTTAACAATTTTAAAGTAAGAGTTTTACCGTCTCAGGAGTTTCACAATCTCAGGGAACATGACTGTTCTGAAGTAGGAGTTTTACCGTCGGAGGAGTTTTATTGACTCAGGGCACATGACTTTTCTGAAGTAGGAGTTTTACTGTAGTCTGCGTAGTGCAAATGGCTAATATTTTATTGAGTAGCAAGGGAAGTTCAAGGATGTAAAATTTGCCTTGGGGACTAGAACAGGTTCGTGGTCCTTGCTTCATGCTCGTATGTGTTAAGATTTTCTTACATAATGGATGCGAGTTTTTTTATGGTTAAACTAGTCAAGACATAAACAGTTAAAATTTAGACACTTGGAATAAAAATGACTCTACACACATTTCTAGAAGGACATGTAAAGAGAGTTGGTTATTCATAGTAAGCTGGAATTGACAAATTAATGGGCGATAAACAATTTGTGGGTCAAGTGGCGTAGGCAGGGGTTTAGTGGGCAGTTGCCCCCTTACCACTATGGATCCCACAAAAAATGGAAGTTGCCCAACGTTTAGTTAGTCACAATGCTCTCGTGCCGCGATATGTTTACAATTAAAAAACTTTGAGTCACATGATCGTTATGGAATATATTTATGATTAGTTTAGCTTCTGGTTTACCTAATAGATAGAGTGACAAATTTTAGACCAGCTTTAGATTTGTAGATATAGTTATTAGAGAGCAATATTTCTTCCAGACTTATTTCTCCGGGGGGGGGGGGGGGGGGGGGGGGGGGTGGGGTGGCTTCCAACATCCCCCCTCCCCACCCCCCGAAGACGAAGAGATGTCTGGAAGAAACTCTGTTAGAGAGTAAGAACAAACAAGAACGACCAAATATGGGAGTAGCAGGATAGTTTAGTTTTACACTAACACTGACTTTATCTGTTTGAATCTAATTACGATAATAAAAAAAAACTACTATGATATTCTAACTTGCTGTCGAAAATCAGGCCTACGAATTAGTTTTTTGTTATACCAATCTATTTACTTTTGTTTGAGGTCATTCGTAACATTATCAATGTAATTAAAACATTAATAAAAAAAACACTGTTGTTTATATTTCTAGCTCATTCCAAGACGGAATTTCCAATTTGAAGATAAAAACAAGTTAATAAAAAGTCTAGTGACAATTTAAGCGCAATTTCCTTAATTCATTTTTTGTGACCGAACGAAAGGATATTTTTGAAAACTTTCTTCGGCAATATTGTTCTAAATTATGGCAGGAATCGATTGGTACATGTTTCAAGTCGCTAAGTGGTCTGGATGCCGAGATATGGGCCAAAAACTGCATTTTTTCGAGGTTTTTTGGCTTTTCCGGGAAATCCAGGAAGGAATTCCGGGAATTTTTTGGGCCCACAATCATCCTCGGAACTTGCTTAACATATTGCTTTTGGAACTAGTCCTCGATATTGCTTCGTTGAGGAGGAGATACGACTTAAAGCTCTGCGGACACACATCCATTGCGGACACATATCCATCCAGAAATGACGAGCTACTAATCGCAATTCCTGTAAGGAAATTGCGCTAAAAATGTTGTTTATATTTCTGGCTCACACTTAGGGGTCATCCATAAATGACGTCACACTCGTAGGGGGGAGGGGGGGGGGGGTCCGTAATTTTGTGACGATGTGTGATGAGGGGAAGGGGGGGGGGGTTCAGATGTTGCGATGTCACACTTTTGCATTATAAAAAAGCAATGCTAGAAAACGAATTTTAGACGTTATTTTGCGTTTTAGATAACTGTTTTAATAAATTGTAATAGTTTAGACAAGATTTTAGAAAAATATCAATGTTTAAAAAAAATTCAACTGCAATTTTGAGGGGGGTTGTAGGTTGAGGTGTGACGTCATTTTAGGGGGGGGGGTCTGGCTTTTTGTGACGACGTGTGACGGAGGGGAGGGGGGGGGAGGTAAAAATCTTTTTAAAAAGCGTGACGTCATTTATGGATGACCCCTTAGTATGTGCTACTAAAACACTACCGTGTTAACAAGTTTGCATATTTATTTATTTGTTTGATTATATATTTGTCCAAACTCAGATATAGGAAAGTCTGCAACATATTTCGAATTGTAAAATGTGTACGTATGAAGAAAGAAAACTGCGTATACATCTATAAACACAGTTAAATTTGGAAACTTAAATTAAAATCTGAGACACATTCTAATTTAAAAATTACAAAATACACATTTAATTAAGCAAACAATTTTTTATTTCAAGTTCAATCTATGATGGACTATTTTAATTTAAAAAATGTGATTGAAATGTTCTTTGTATTTCTGAATCACTTTTTGGTAGATCATCTAATTTAAAAATAAGCAAAAAATGTTCCTTATACTTCTGGCTCATTCTAATATAGACCATCTAATTTAAAAATAAGCAAAAAATGTTCCTTATACTTCTGGCTCATTCTAAGAATAGACCATCTAATTTAAAAATAAGCAAAAAATGTTCCTTATACTTCTGGCTCATTCTAATATAGACCATCTAATTTAAATATAAGAAAAAAAATCCCTTATACTTCTGGCTCATTCTAAGATAGACCATCTAATTTAAAAATAAGCAAAAAATGTTCCTTATACTTCTGGTTCATTCTAAGATAGACCATCTAATTTAAAAAAAAAATGTTCCATATACTTCTGGCTCATTCTAAGATAGACCATCTAATTTAAAAATAAGCAAAACATGTTCCTTATACTTCTGGCTCATTCTAAGATAGACCATCTAATTTAAAAATAAGCAAAAATGTTCCTTATAGGCCTACTCGTTCATTCTAAGATAGACCATCTTATTTAAAACAAAGAAAAAAAATGTTCCTTATACTTCTGGCTCATTCTAAGATAGACCACCTAATTTAAAAATAAGGAAAAATGTTCCTTATACCTCTGGGTCATTCTAAATTAGACCATCTAATTTAAAAATAAGCAAAAAAATGTTACTTATACATCTGGCTCATTCTAAGATAGACCATCTAATTTAAAAATAAGCAAAAAATGTTCCTTATACTTCTGGCTTATTCTAAGATAGACCATCTAATTTAAAAATAAACAAAAAATGTTCCTTATACTTCTGGCTCATTCTAAGATAGACCATCTAATTTAAAAATAAGGAAAAAATGTTCCTTATAATTCTGGTTTATTCTAATATAGACCATCTAATTTAAAAATAAGCAAAAAATGTTCCTTATACTTCTGGTTATTCTAAGATAAATAATTAAATTTAAAAATAAGCAAAAAATATTCCTTATACTTCTGGCTCATTCTAAGATAGACCATCTAATTTAAAAATAAGCCAAAAATGTTCCTTATACTTCTGGCTCATTCTAAGATAGACCATCTAATTTAAAAATAAGCAAAAAATGTTCCTTATACTTCTGGCTCATTCTAATATAGACCATCTAATTTAAAAAAAAAGAAAAAAATGTTCCTTATACTTCTGGCTCATTCTATCTAAGATAGACCATCTAATTTAAAAAAAAGAAAAAAAATGTTCCTTATACTTCTGGCTTATTTTAAGATAGACCATCTAATTTAAAAATAAACAAAAAATGTTCCTTATACTTCTGGCTCATTCTAAGATAGACCATCTAATTTAAAAATAAGCAAAAACTGTTCCTTATACTTCTGGCTCATTCTAAGATAGACCATCTAATTTAAAAATAAGCAAAAACTGTTCCTTATACTTCTGGTTCATTCTAAGATAGACCATCTAATTTAAAAATAAGCAAAAACTGTTCCTTATACTTCTGTCTCATTCTAAAATAGACCATCTAATTTAAAAATAAGCAAAAAATGTTCCTTATACTTCTGGCTTATTCTAAGATAGACCATCTAATTTAAAAATAAGCAAAAACTGTTCCTTATACTTCTGTCTCATTCTAACATAGACAATCTAATTTAAAAATAAGCAAAAAATGTTCCTTATACTTATGGCTCATCCTAAGATAGACCATCTAATTTAAAAATAAGCAAAAAATGTTCCTTATACTTCTGGCTTATTCTAAGATAGACCATCTAATTTAAAAATAAGCAAAAAATGTTCCTTATTCTTCTGGCTCATTCTAAGATAGACCATCTAATTTTAAAATAAGCAAAAAATGTTCCTTATACGTCTGGCTCATTCTAAGGTAGACCATCTAATTTAAAAATAAGCAAAAAATGTTCCTTATACTTCTGGCTCATTCTAAGATAGACCATCTAATTTAAAAATAAGCAAAAAATGTTCCTTATACTTCTGGCTCATTCTAAGATAGACTTTCTAATTTAAAAAATAAGCAAAAAATGTTCCTTATACTTCTGGCTTATTTTAAGATAGACCATCTAATTTAAACATAAGCAAAAAATGTTCCTTATACTTCTGGCTCATTCTAAGATAGATAATTAAATTTAAAAATAAGCAAAAAACATTCCTTATACTTCTGGCTCATTCTAATATAGACCATCTAATTTAAAAATAAGCAAAAAATGTTCCTTATACTTCTGGCTTATTTTAAGATAGACCATCTAATTTAAAAATAAGCAAAAAATGTTCCTTATACTTCTGGCTCATTCTAATATAGACCATCTAATTTAAAAATAAGCAAAAAATGTTCCTTATACTTCTGGCTTATTTTAAGATAGACCATCTAATTTAAAAATAAGCAAAAAATGTTCCTTATACTTCTGGCTTATTTTAAGATAGACCATCTAATTTAAAAATAAGCAAAAAATGTTCCTTATACTTCTGGCTTATTTTAAGATAGACCATCTAATTTAAAAATAAGCAAAAAATGTTCCTTATACTTCTGGCTCATTCTAAGATAGACCAGAATGTTGACACTGGAGAGGACAGTCTCCGACAGGTACGAGACGCAGTACCCCAGGGTCGTGACGTCAAAATACCGCCCGCCGTAGCTCAAATCCGGCACGAAGCTCATGGCTGTCAGGATGGTGGACTGCGGAATTAAGCAGACGACAAACACGATTGAGATTGTAGACAGCATGACCACCGTCTTTTTCTCTTTACTAGAGATGTTGGTCGCTGATTTCACCATAGTCTGTCTCCATTTCGCCTGGTTTTTAAGTTTCACAGCGATGATAGAAGTGCTTATAAGTATAATAAGAAACGTAGCGTAAGGCGCTAGAAGATCTGTAATGATGTACGATACATAAAAAACAACATAAGGATTCTGACGATAAATTACCGTTACAATGGATCGGTTTGTGTTAGGGAAAACCACCCAATCTAAGTAACCAATGTAATATGGGGGGACTAAATTTAAAGCGGTGAATATAAAGATAAAAAAATTAATAGCTATAGCTGTTTTGGTGTTGATGATGCGTTTGACTCTCAATGGGCTGACCACACAAATGCATCTTTCCAGGGAGGCGAATGCGGTGACGAAGCCGCACACCCGTATGAAGTAGTTGTGCGGGTAGAACGACACCATCATGACCAGGTCTCGCGCGTTAATGTCAAGGTCGGTCTGCGGGAACCAAGGGTTGATCATGACGTGGAACACCTGCAGGGTGAGCAGCGCCCCCGTGTCGCTGAGAGCCAGGGAGGTGAGGGTGATGTTGACGCTGTCGTTGTAGCCCTGTCGGTAGAAGATGAGGATGTTGATCACGTTACCGCAGATTCCGAGGATCCCGATGGTGCCGCAGACAACCATGTTGAACACCAGGAAGTAATCGAGGACGCGAGGGTCGAGGTAAAGTACAGGTGTGTCCATTTGTATAGCAGTCAAATCGGGTAGTGACACATTGACAAGATTATTCATCATTTTAATTGCAGTTCAGCTTTATTACTTTTTTTTAAGAAATAAAACGTGTGTTTCGACCTTTTTATTCAGCTAGCCACATTGCTTTTACATTGAGAAATGCCGCCATGCTGGGCTGAATTGTTATATCTGTTTACCGAAATGACAAAGTAACTTCATTTGTTTTTCGAAATCCAAATATTCAGGTTAAAAAACTAAAATATATCAGTTCACTTTTGATGCAGAAGTCCAAAAAAATCACATACTCTTATAAATCTTTTTATTAATGTAATAAGTAACACAAATTAAAAGACGGTCAAAGTTAGGAGTTAGGTGCGAATAAATAGTTTACACTCTGTTTGGCACTTTGGAATCGTAGTTTTTACCCAGTTGTGAATTGGAAAGTTTTGCTGGAAAATACAATTAAAATAATGAAAATATCTCTATTTTTTAACAATTCAAACAATGTGTATATGTGTATGTATGAATCGTATGACAATAGGTGAAAGTGAGCGTTTACTTTAAGTAATTAACTAATTGCTTTTTTTGAAAAATGGAATAAAAAGATGACTTTACCCTATGGGAATGACAACGCGCTAGACCTGATATACTACTGATTATGTATAGTACTTTGTATATTTATTAATGTGCTGCACATTAATGCATTATATCTATAATATAAGCGGGCTGGTTGTGTATCAGTCCTTTCTTCCTTCCGTCATCGCCATAGATTTGGGAACCATAAAAGTAAACATCGCACCATGCAGTGCTTTTCAGTGCATCGAATTGTCTTATTATAAGTTAAAGAGTAAGGTTTGTTTATATAGCGACTTAAATGTATTTTATAGTCGCCACTGTTTTTACTCTTTCGCATAACGTCAAGAAAATATTAAATACACGCTCACTGCTAAAACATATTAAAAGGATCAATGTCAAATATTATTTTCGTTTAGACTCTCAGAAAAGGTGGATACATTTTAATAACATAATAACAGTAGGGTAACGGTTTTGGTTGCTATATCAGCATAAAAACATATTGATGCAGCCGTTTGGATAATACAGTGATGTACGAGTTGTGCTTGCGGGTTGGTGTAGCTAGGACAGGGGTCGGCAACCTGTGGCTCGCGAGCTGCATGCGGCTCTTTTGACGTCTAGATGCGGCTCTCCAGCTCCTTGCACAAATGTTAATAGTTATATAATTTCATTTTTACTGGACGGTGGGGTACGACTTTACCCTGCGTTCAGTGGGATGGAAGATAAGCCTTATATGAGAACCAAAGGTTAGAAACGTACGATGCATGTTATTCAAACCGATATCCAAGCCAGAAAGTCGGCGTTTGCCGTGTTGAGGCCTGACTGGCTAATGGGAGACACCTCCTGAGCCGGTGATATCCGTAAAAAAAATAATTAAATTTAACATCTGCTAAAGCGGATTGAGATAGTCCTAGAATAATATTATTTGTTTACTAATTTTACTATTCTGCCAAAACATGTCTATGTTTTTATATGGATAAATATTATTTCATATTTAATGCTATTTATTTTAAATAACAAATCAAATTTATTTACCTAATCCTAATCAAATACCAAAATATTGAACTATAAATTGTGGCTTTTTAAAAACTGGGAAATTTTGTAAATTGTAGCTTTTGGCTCTTGCGTATCAAAAGGTTGCCGACCCCTGGGCTAGGAGAATAAGTTAGGTGTGGGTCGGTACAGTGTTGAATTTTTTTTCAGATTGCTGTAATTGTGTGGTAAGGTCTATTTTATGGTGGTCGGCGCTGTTATTTTAATGTATTGAATTCTCATTAAATAAACTATGTCTCTCTTAGAACCCTTCCAAAAAAACATAAAGATTATAATTGCGACAATTTTTTACACACTCCTTATAGAAAGATAATGATGTAGTTAGCTGCTTATTCATTTTGCTTTAATTGCTTTAAGGGGATATGCAAGTGTAGCACTATAGTATAACAAATCATTAAATCTCTGTTCCTAAGATGGTACACATAAAAAAGATTTACCTTGGCGGAGCACGGGTCTGCGGCTAGTACATTATAATCAAATGGCAAAGTATAGTACTTTGTATTTTTGTAAATATGCTACATTATGTACTTATTGCTATATGTTTTACCTTGCATATTTATTAATGTGCTGTACATTATATACTTATGATTGTGTATTGTAACTTAAATGTCAATGACTAAGTAGCACGAAGTAAGTGTGGTGATGTCATGTGAATGACAGATGTGTACGTTTGATGGATCACTGCGGATACACATTAGTATTGTAGCGCGAAGCTGGGTGTGTTTACATGTGTGTTGTTGTACGAAGTGAACGAGGGTAACAAGGGAAGCGACTGGTCGAGTGACAGCGTGTGTAGACGTGTATGTTGTTGTACGGAGTTAACGAGGGTAACAAGGGAAGCGACTGGTCGAGTGACAGCGGGTTTGTTGACGTGTACTTTGCTGTACGGAGTGAACGAGGGTAACATGAGAAGCGACTGGTCGAGTAAAAGCGCTGTGTTGTGAGGGTAGAGGAAGGAGGTGTGTAGCGATGAATGTTGAAGGTGGAGGTCACGGTTGGATCTGAGAGGTTGTGATGATAGATGCTTTAAATCTTGTTGTACCCTAACCTCAATTATTTATGTTTGGTGTGTCCTGATACAAGTGTCGTACGATGTACCTTGTACGTTGGACAATTTCCGGAACCATGTAATTGAGAACAATGTTTTCAGACACGGTGGGCGGAAATTAATGTGACCTTTAGTTGCTGACATGACAAGTGTGATCGCTACACTGACCGGTGGTCAGGGATGTTAGGTCGGGGGGGGGGGGATAACTATTTTTTTTACAGCCTCGGGCTGATATAAGGACTAACAAAAGCGGTACGGTTAGAGGATAAATACTGACCGGAATAAGCTTTAGTTTTTCTTACTCATTGTGTCCTATAAATGAATAACAATGTAATATGTTTAAATATTAATTACCATGGGCTGATCATCATGTATTAATGTCTATGTGATGTACCTTGTGTAAACCGGACCCTGTTTTATTGCATCTACCGGACCCTATATTCTTGGATTTACCGTACCCTATTTTATTGCATCTATTGTCTTGTGAATTCACCCGGAACGTACACAAAAAACACATCCGGCCACTTGATGTACACCTATGTGTGAGGGCGATGTGGTGTAATACAACTATGGGCTTTACCTCAATGACTGATTACAATAAATTATATTCGACCCGTCAGTTTTAATGTTAAATAGCAAATAGTTCCCTGACAACCTGTTAAAGTACAAAACTCACTCTAACTAGAACTTGATCGCAGTTTCAAAACTTAACAAAGTAATCCAGAATCCTCACGTAAATAATCTCCCGCGGCATTGAAAATTAAATCTATTTCTACCCATCTGATTATTGATTTGTTAATTTTAGTTTCTCGACAAAATTAGTATATATTTACTTCTCGGGCGGAAAATGAAAATAAACACCGATTATTGACGAAACGATAGGAAAATCGGCAAGTTAATTCAGGCGTTTGTGTAAGTAGATCTGTGTCGCTTCTCTTTAAATGATTGCACCTAGTTTACCTTTTTGTAAACTGTTATACCTCAACTTACGTTTTTCAAATAAAAAAGTAAATTTGCAAATATTGATTGCGCTTTAAGCGAGGTGATTATCATGACCCCGAACAAAAATTGTGTTTTTGATTGATCCACGAATCGATACCATTTATTTGTGTGGAGTAGTAAACATTGAACGAGAAATTATTGCTAAAAGTTGAGTATGTAATTAGAATTTATCCAAATGATAATGTAATTTTTGAGCGGTTTAAGTCGTAAAAAATGTTGAAAATGGAATCAAGACGACGCGCATTTAATATTATGTGCCGTTAGCCATAAAGGTTGTCGTTAAAAGTCAAACCCGTGTCTTGAAATCGTAATTATTGTAATAAAATCAAGTGCAACTCTCTTAAGGGAAATAACAGTCATGTCTAATCGCTTTTCAAATTAAAAAAATGTCTTTATATTGAAAAAAAATTGAAAACAGGAAAGTTCTAGCTGTTAAGACTAATTATGTAGTGTTTTATAGATTTCATTTATTATTTGCATTTAGAAGTTATATGATGAAACTAGATATTTTCGTTGCCGAAATCCGCGATACACTAAACTAAAATTTATATTTACCAAAGGTAGGCAAACTTGAAATATTTGTAACTATTTATTTACCTCCGTTTAGAAATTCTTTTACCAAGGGTAAACTTAAAATATTTGAAACTATTTGATTGATTGTTTTTATTAGTAAACAGATTTTTTTAAATACTTAACAAAGGTAACTAGGTGTAAACTAACGGCTAGTTTTTTGTTTACGTCTATTAATTTGTAAAATTCTTTTTAATTTGGCTAGACATAAAATTTTTAAAAATCTGAGACTAGACTCGTTGGTTAACTTTTAATAATCTCAAAACAGTAGGGGTACCATCATATATCGGTAATATTTCTTTAGATTTAAAAAAAATATACCACAAATAAAGTGAAGAGAGCTGCTATGTTTAAAATGTACACTTAAAATACTATACTACTAAATTTAAAATATATAGCTTGCTGCAAAATAAAATAAAATAAAAAACAAAATAGAATGAAAAGTGGGCGTAAAATAGCGCGTGAAATAGTACTTTATATATGAAATTTTAAATAATTCATTAAAAATTAATTATATATCCAATTAAGTCAGATTGCATTGTCCTCGGGTGCCAAGTTTGAAACAAATCGGTCAGTTAGAATTGATCACTTTTCGCTTGGCAGTTTTGATCCATGACCGGGCGACAGACAGACAGAAGAAGCAAGTTAAATAAAAGCATGTAAAAACAGAATGGGACGGCGTGGCCTAGCGGGAAAACAAAGGCGGCTGGGCATAGTGCTTTATGAACTCTACTTAATTTGACACATGTGTCTTGGGCACTAACGGGAAATGATGATGATAAAAAACAGGAACGTTTACTGAATATTTATAGTTTGGGTGGAAAAACCCCCGATGCTAATTAAATTGCATCACATATGCTGCTGTTCATGATCATATGATATCTTAATTTTTTTAAATCTTATCGAAAAATACATTTTTAGAACTAAATTCAATCTTTCAGATATTTTTATAAAATTGTGAAAGATGGGATAAGCAAATACAAAACAGAAGCTAATGAGCCAAGAAAATGTTTCAAGCACCAATAAGTATAGTTGAGCAAGGGTATAAAACCATGCATTTACAAATTTTGTAGCATGTATTGTGAACTGTATGGCGCAAAATAATTAAAATATGTAAAGATAACTGACTATTCAGGGCTGCCGCTGCCCTCGTCCTAATGTACACTAATTGCCGGTCTCAGGAACCCGCTGCCAGACAATATCAATTTTTCATATATATATATATATTGGCTTACACTCTTCTAGTGAGTAGTACACCATACCCAACACACTGCAACAAAAAGGGATGCGAGTATGTTTAAAAAAAAAGTCATACCTAAAGGAGACACACTTTATATTTTGGTAATCAGAGCCGACGAATCTTTATCTCGACACTATCTAGATAATTGTCATTTAGTGTTAAACCAAACCAGGCAACGCCTTCACTACTAACTTGACTTTGCCATACTCCATTAGCGTGCACTAGGCGACAATTGTTAAACCACCAGCCCCCTTTGTAATTCTCTGCACAATTTCTAGAAGATTCATCATTGTCTTTATCAAATGTGGAAAAAGCCATTCCATTGTGCCAACTAAACTGCTCTATAGTGTTGCCTGTCTTGTATATAAACTTTATCCTGTACAAATCTGTTTCATTTCCCACCGTCACATTACTGTACACCATGTAGTAGGATTTACCTTTAAATTTCATGTCAAACCTCAGCTCACTGTAGCCCTGTAAAAACAAAAAGGAAAATTTCTTTTAAATAATGTGTATCACAGGCTAAAATATTTGAATTTATGGTTATAAAAATATTCGTCTACGTACATTTTAAGCATGGTAGTCAAAACATTGAAATTTGCATTTTGATAATTTACGAATTATCCTTAAGTATTAATTAATTAATTATTGGTTTTCAAACGCTGTTATTCCATCAACTTATAATACATCCATAATAGTGATCTTAGAATTAATTTTAACGATTTGAAAGCATTGTCAAGATGTCGCCTTTTTTTCCCATTGATGGCATCGTATTTTTATTACTACGTATTTACGAGTATAAACTTGAACATTTTGTCATTAAAAAATAATTTATTTAACAAGAATAAGGAATTCAATTACTATGCACTTAAAATTTTTATCAACTGCGCTTTTATTTTAATTTTCAGAATTTTTTTTTAACGAGAACAAAATAGCAGAAAATGGAAATCTCGACTTTACGGTGATACAATTACAATGTATTCGAAGAAGTACTGTAATTATACTTTAGCAAATAAAATCTAAGACAAATTTATCGTACGTTCTGTGTGAGGTTTGAGATCAAGTCATTTCCCATCCAAAAATCTCCATCCAAAGATCCAAAACCATTTTTGTATTCGCTCCAGTTTCTGGTGAAATTTACGTCACCCACCACACGTCGCTTAAACAAACAAAACAAAATAAATTTGAAAACTTAAACAATATTTCACATAATTGGTATTTAAAGGAAGGGTGTCGCCTGAGATTTTAAACTTCATTATTTTTCAAGATGACCTAAACAATTAAAAATTACATTTATTTACATCTAATTTGATACCAATTTTATTTATCAAATTTAATCGATAGCCTAGAGAATTTATTGTGAAATAAACCGGGAGTGATGTACCCTAAACTTTCTAGAATATTCTTACCAGCCGTGTTATTGAATAGGAAGAAATCTAGCAGATAACACAATTCTGCTGGTAAAATGGGCGCGATTAGACAAAAAAATGTATACATGGCAATTTTGCATCAAACACTAATCTCCACTGTTAAAAATAGATCGGTACCGTTAAATAATAAGCAAAAAATAACGTTTATAAGTATATATTTCTGAATTGACAATGAAACTTGGGTAAAAAACGGAATTACGGTATCGTCGTTTTTGGCAGCCATCATTATCATGACAACCGTTAAAAAAAGTCGGCCAATCGACAGGCTAAATTTAAGACTTGACTATGTCCGATAACTGTGAACGAAAGTCGGTGTGATCCAGTGCCATTTTTCAAGTATCTATCGCCAGTTTGTTCTACTATTTTATTTCAATGTGTATGTTATACACTTAGTCAACTCTATATTTATGATTATACTTCAAATTACAATTAAATAAAGTTGTCACTTTATATAATCTCAAGCTCGGTGTTATATTTTTATCGACCCGCCACAATGATTCTTAACAAGATATACACGTTGTGATAATGACAAAAAATAGAAATACTAAGATGATTAAACAATGCCAAAAACTCTCACTCAAAACACAGGCAAATATGGATATAATGCACACTATATAGTTACATTAAAGTCAAAATATTATCATAAAGAAAACACATAATACTCATTACAAGTATTTAAAAATAATAAACGTAGCAGTAATAAAATAATCTACTAGCTTCTTAACACTAGAATGATACAGAAACCCCTCCCCTGGAATATTTATTTAACTTATTCCTCATATATATATATATATATATATATATATATATATATATATATATATATATATATATATATATATATATATAATATAAATGTTGAGATGCAATGCTTATAAAAAGTTCAAAATAGAACTTTACTACAATCAATGACAGTTCAGATTAAACGATGAAAAGTTCGATTACACTGATTTCATATCAATTTATACCATATTGATACACATATTGTTTGTAAAATTATGTTTACCGAGCTACCTTTAAACAATATGTTGTAATTATAATTAAAATGCGTATAGATATTGAAAAATAACTTAATTCGCTGCTAATGTTTTATATAGGATATGAGGTGACAAAAACTGTAGTACCTGTATAACAATCCAACCTCCACCGTCTGTTTTAGTGTCACACAAGGCCAGTTTCTGGTCGTTTAGTTTAATAATCTTTTTATCTAACAGGCTTGCGATATCATTTCTGACACACTAGGTAAAAACATTGCAATTTTTAAAAAAAATCATTGCAAATCAATGTTGAATAGTTTCTTTTAAGAAAAAAAAGAATTTTTTTTAGAAATAATACATGAAAAATGAGCTAGTGACTTAGTGACTTAGTAGTTTAGTTTAATAATAATTTAAAAAAAAAACAACAACCTAAAATAGTTGAGAATGCTGGAAATATTTAAACTAACGGTGTTATATAGTTACCTGTTTTACATATAATAATTGCAGGGGATTCCCGTTGTATTCGTCTATAAAACCTTGAAGAGTTTTGTTGAGACCCGCTACTAAATTTAATGTTGTATTGATATTCTCTTGTGTGATTGTTTTCTTTATATTTGTTTCCATCTCATTTAATCTGATACTGAGTTGTTCTGTTTGGTTCTGTGCGTTGGCTAGCTTTGTTTGGATTGATTCGTTTAAAACAGATAAACTATTTTTGTTTAACTCTGTTGCTAAATTAACTTTGTTTTCCATCATCTGTAATGTTTTGTTTACATCAAGTGTTAAATTCTTTATTTTATAATGTAATAGGTCCTCAAATGTAGAAAACGGAATAATATTAAAATCGTCAGTGAGAACTGCATCCACACTTTTGTCTGTGCTGAACTTATCGCCACCAGAATGTGACATCTGTAATGACAATGTCATGTCTGCACCTTTCAGTCTGTCTGGGTCTTCAAACGATTTGAGAAAATCGGCCATTGTGTCAACAGATTTAACATAGTCAGATGTTTTAGCTTTCAAGTTCATCATTATTAAAGATTCACTTGATTTTCTTTGAAAGCGATCAGTCTTTTTCTCTATTTTAGCGACCGATTCGTTTGTATTTAAATAATGAATTTCGCATGTGAAAATGCCTTCAATGCAGTCTGACTTTTTTGAAAACAACACAACCATCTCAGCAAATGTTCTAGTTATATTTCCTCTAGTTCCAACTTTTGTATAATCTTGAATCTTTGAATCTGATTCTGAAATAGACGTCACCAAAATCTTCCCCTCTGGTTCACTGATCCTATACACTGACATGTTGACAAGAGCTGATATCTGAGTGTCTTCTCTTATGTTTTCTGTACACTGGAGTTGTGCACAAAATAAATCCTTGCCGTGGTGAACATATTCTCTCTTCATGTTAATACTTAGGCCTGTGATAGCAAAGATAGAAAATAATATTTCAAAATATAGGAAAGGCTAGAAATAAATGAGTTAAGATTCTTGAGATAATTGGTTATCTGGGCGTCTGAAATTTTATGTTTCTAATAATCAACAACTTCAAAGTAGTAAAACATTCCTTATAATAGATGAAAATAAATTATTACCAATTAATCTAAGCATGTTAAGAATGTAATGTATGTTTAGAATCAAGATGATTCTTGTTTAGCTCAATATGATTCAAATTACTATGTTCTGAAAATGTGTGACAAGTTAAATCTCAGGTGTATAAATAAAATTTGGCTATGCCTCAAGTTTTGATTTTTAATATATTGTATCCCCAGAATTTAAACGATTGAAATTTTAAAAAGCCGCAACGCCTCGTGAAGAATAAAATGTAAATATAACCAAATGTTATAAGAAAGATCCGTATATTAAAGTCAGGATAATTTCCAACAACAAAATAGAGTCCACATTGTTGATTACCATGGCAAAAATTAGACTCCAAACTATTACGGATTAGATAATGACATTGAATAGAGCATAAACTTCATAATATCGTAACCGATTACGAATACAAATGTTATTTGATTAAAAGGAAATATATAATTTCCAAAATATAATACAATCGATAATTAAATAGTTATACAATTGTTTTCAACAAAAAGAAAAAAAAACATTTAAAAATATTCAAAATAAAAACTTACCTGTGCAAGTGTTGATAATTACAGCAGTTGTAACGAGGAACAACACGGCAATCATTGTAATACGGTAGCAATGTTAGGATTTATCACAACTTCGTTCTTTTGGACACACAATATCTAAGGGAAGTCAACTTAACTAATGATTCTCGGGCAAAGACAACTTTAAATAGTATGACGTTCAGACAATGAAGAAAATAAAATATTACATGTCTGACGTAGCTTTACTTTGGCGAGCTCAGTTAGCTTAGAACATGCTCACGGAAGGTTTATAAACAGTTTCTGTTTTATTTAAATAACAGCACGAATAAATACAGATTTACCTTAAGGTTCGGTTAGCATTGCAAGACTTTGTTTTTCAGCCTTGCTAGCTACCGTAAAATCTTCTTTTCAGTTGTGATTAAATCATCTGATTGGATTATTTTTTATTTTTAAAAAAATATTGTATAACACTGGACTCAGCGAAGACACAATATTTTTAAAGCTGATAAAATAAAAGTTATTACAATAAATATTAACAGTTGCAACGTTTACAAGTTTTGCATTTATTTTCATTTTCCTTTTTTTCCAAGCGGAAGGAAACCAATTTGTTCTTACTTTTTTTTAAATATCTAACTTACCTTGAGACAAAAAATTGAAATGGATCATTTGATTGTAAATACAGCTCAAAACTCATACGCCATGATCAACAAACCCAAGACTTGTTTATCTAAGCAGACAAATGAACATGAGACACCCAACGTTGTTTATAAAGTCCCCGTGACACGAATAAACAATTACACTTGTGATGAACATGGGGGGGGGGGCTATTGTTTAAAAGGTAAATACAACAATGATAAAGACCTTGAATTCGTTCCAAACTGTAAAGAAAAAAGAAAATAACTGGATAAAATTAAAGCGTAAAGGTTTTTTTGTACGCGTTCGTTTAATCGCTAGTTATAGCTTGATGTGGGTTCCCCTACCCCGCTAAAGCGAATTATTTGTTTCTATTTTCGACAAGACAACCGAATTTTAAAGTTAATCAAATACATATTTTTCGAAATTGCACTTCAAGATTTTTTTATAAATGACCCGTTGATAGAGAAATACAGTGGGCGCTAGGTTGATATTGTTCTCTTTTTTATATAAACCGAAACCAAAACCAAAATTCTCATCTCAACTTCACATTTAGCCAGAAATGAAAACTGTCATTGAAAAGTGATTTGTATCAATTTTATAGCATGTACTTTTTGTATTTTTGATGACAAGACAAATAATCTCAGAACAAATGATCTTAGACAAATGATCTCAGATAAACCAGCTGAGATAATTTGTCAGATAATTTTTGTCCTTGATATAATTTGTCCTGATAAAATTTGTCCGTGAGATATTTTGTCTAGGATAATAAGTGTGAAGTAATTTTTCCTGTGATCATTTGTCATGGAAGCGCTCTTTAATCTGTCTTAACCCTATAAAAAAATACACACATATCTGCGTTAACATTTAAATTTAGACAAGGCTATAATTGGATGGAGCAAAGTGTTGCCAACAACGTCTGGTTTAAGTATAATCAAAACAGAATAATCAAGGTGAGCAGCATACGAATTGCAGGCTGCATGTATAGACCACTAAAAGTTAAGTAATCCATGTGTATAAGATTCGATGTTAGTAAAACAAATAAATGTTCCTAGACACACAATTTTAATTTTTTACTGCAGAAATTATTATTTGATCTAATTATTCTGCTCAGGCGTTATAGCTATAGAGAGGAAAATGGGGTGTTCGTAGGGCAAACAAATGTTCCTTTAGTCAAGATAGTAGATATTTCGTAAAATAGTAGAAAGTTGGTTGGACAAGAAGTAGATATTTCGTAAAGTATTAGATAATTTGTACAACAAGACAATTTATACTTAAAGCAAAACAAGTGTTTTTTTCTGTGTAGAATAGCAAGACTTGATTTAGCTAACGTTAACATTTATCGATGAGAAAAGAAAAACTTTTTGGGTGTTTTAATTTTTTTTGGTGTAAGTTACCAAAAATAAAATAAATAAATACACAAAACCAAAGAAATGTATTCAAGAACCACGTTTTTGTTTTAATATAATTATGCGTTTATTGCACTGCAAATTATTTTCTAAACATTTCAACTCCCCATTTGAGAGTTTCTGAGACGGTTAATACTGCATAATAAAATGTATATCTTAAGCTCAACTAAATACATACCAGCTGTCAATGATACCAGATAAGAAAGAACACATTTGAGAGGATAACATTTTTTTAAAGATTAAAGTGAGAATAGAAAAAAAAATAGTGTACTAAATTTTTAAACATGCAATGCGCTAAAACAAGTTGAGTTTCTTTTCTAAAAGTTGTTAAAAGTACGACGCAAAAGTTAAAGGAATTTTTGAAATGAGAAAATGAAATGATAGAACGTTCAGTTTAAATGCATAAGTTAGAGTCTGGCAATTACTGACGCTGTTATTTCATGTGAATGAGTTGGGGTGATTGTATTGTTTAAATATACAATGCGAGGTAAAGTTTTAATTGCTTTTTACACTGTTGCGGTTTCGAACAATGACAATTGTAGCTTTAATATTTGCCTTTGTACAGTTCACTCATTTATACGCTTTTTTTTTTATTTTGGCGATTAGATTTTATGATCGACGATACACATAGTAAAATTGTCATTTCAGAAAGAAGGGCCATTTTACAATTGCCATTATACTGCCTATGATCCCGAGTCCGCCCTTTCACGATAGCCACACACGCAAGCTTAGCAAAATGAATAAATGTATTGTATTGTATTGACTACTGTTAAATTAAAGACATAAGTAAAACAAGTCAACTTTTTAAAAATACACATTTATTAAAGTCTACACAATATTAATGATGCGAAACTATTGTAAAAAAATATTTGTTCTTCAGATGTAACAATTTTAATATAAAAATAACATTTGAAACAATATTTAACTATAATTTGTTTCTTGAAAGGTTAAAGTCGACGTAGTTTCATCTCAACCTGTTCCAGAGAATCTGTATGTTGTGTTAGACCTTCCCAGTTAATTCCTTCAGCTGAGACTTTACTTGCCCACGCGCCGTTCGTGTTCACCTTATGGCACATGTTAAACCACCAGCCGCTCCTCCATAGCTGGGCGCAATGGCCTTCAGTATATCCGTCATTGTCTTTATCAAATGTGGAAAACGCCATTCCATAGTGATTACTAAAGCTATCTATAACGTTGCCTGTCTTGAATGTAAACTTTATCCTATACAAATCTGCTTCATTTCCCACCGTCACATTACTGTACACGGCGTAGTAGGATTTACCTTTATATTTCATGTCAAACCTTAGTTCACTGTAGCCCTGTTAACACAAATGATAACAGATATTTTTACTAACTGTAAATACTGAAGCAAGGTAGCGTTGTAATTTGTGTCGGGGTAGCGTTTCTAATTGCTGTGCACATATTAAATTGGCGACATGTTCATTAGTGTAATTTCTAATTGATTTCTACAAATAAGCAAACATAAACTACTTTTTTTTCGGCTAAAGCAACGCTATTAGTCTCTTACCAATCATTGCGTCATCTGACCCAAACGCGTCGCAGAACATATAAATACAAACTACAAACGTGTAACAAACCCTAGACCAAATAATAAAAAGGCTCGTTTTAATATCTTTTATAAAACTTGAAGCCTCCATCTATACTATACACAAACTAAACGAGAAAACACAGTTTATTCAAACACGTCTAACGACACAATAGACAAGAAAACACAAATCCTAGAACACAGTGACAAACTAACATTTTACACAGAAATATCGTATAAGAACCTGGTAGAACGTATATACCGGAATGATGTTTCGATTCCAATTTTTTCGACAGTCATTATATACAACAACGATACGACAGATAGCTCACAGCAGGATGGTGTGTAATTTACACAATTAACTAAAACAATGAAATAATTCTCCACTTATTCAAACATCAAAATCACACTTATTCATAAACAATTACATTTCAAAACACAACGTCTGTTCACGCCATTGATATTATCATTCTAAAAATTATTTGTAAATTCATATTTATATAATACATACTGCCTAGGTTAGGATCCAAATAAACTGATGTTTGCTTTCATCTAGCGTAAAATACAAAGTGTGTGAGATTGCAGAAATGCTACATAAAATATAACGTACAGTTTTTGTAAGTTTTGAGATCCAGTCATTTCCCAGCCAGTAATCTCCAGCCAATGATCCAAAACCATTTTTGTAGTCGTTCCAATTTCTGGTGAAATTCACATCACCTGCCACCCGTCTCTAAAGAAAACATTGGAAAAATATGTAAAAGTAAAGTTTCCCTTTCAAACCTGACGGTCTATGGGGCAAGTGAAGTAGAGTTCACTTGTTTCTGTGACCTCGGCATATGAAGAGATAATGTGGTCAGCACTATGCCCAGCCGCCTTTACTTTCCCTAACGTGAGTTAGGCACCCTTCAGAGTTGGGTGGACTCAGGGACGATCTACTGACTTGAACCCCGATTCGAACTCGAGACTTACGGGTTAGCAGTCCAGCTATCTACCGCTAGACCACTGATATAAATTAATTGGAATCAGACTGGTATTTCTCCAGTTTTAATTATTGTTCACAACAAAGCTTAAAGTTTGATTTTCCTTAATATTTCTACATTAAGCACATGATGAAATGGAATTGTTGTGTACATGTGGTGAAAAATATGGGAACAAATTGTTTAAGACATGATACTTTATAACAATGAATACCTATAAAACAGCCCCCCCCCCCACACACACAATAAAGTAAGAACAGTTGGGTTCTGGGGAAGCGATAACAAATTATGTAGTTGAAATTTAAAACGTATTTTGTTAACTATAAATTAGTATTTAGCACATAATGTTGAAATGTAAAACAATGCTTGACTCAATATATTGGTTGAATTTTATAAAATATATTTTTTAAATCTGTTCAGAGCATAATATGAAGATACATTGTTAAATTAATATAGTTGCTTTTTGTTTTTTTTTACTGTAGAAACATAAAATTGCCGGATAGGTGAAACAAAAGGGAAAACCCTTTTTCGTTGAATTTAAATTAAGACGTCTGATTTTCTAAACAAAAGCTTCAATATTTGACCAAATACAATTACACAACTAGTAGAACAATAAGTTAACCACATTTTGTTGGATAGTAAAATAATCTATTTTCACTTCGAGTTAGAATTTTTTAAAATTTATAATCTAAGATTTCTGCATGTTGAAAAACAACTTATTTTTAGTGAGGCTGAGAATATACAGTACCTGTATTACAATCCAACCTCCACCGTCTGTTTTGGTATCACACAAGGCCTGTTTTGTTTCGTTTAGTTTGACATGTAGACGTTCCGGTAGACTTGAGTTATCGTTCCTTACACACTATATCGAATACAATGCAAATATCTTCTAAAAAATCAATAAGCTATTATGTAAGAGAAATTAGATTTAGTGAATCGTGAGCTATAAATTACGAAATGTGTAGATGTTTGCCACCCTAACTAGTTTCATGTTGTTTATTTCATGTTATTTAATTAAAATATTTCAAATACAATTACACGTGGCAGATTTAACCTTAGGTTTGATTTAAAAAAAAATAACAGTATTTTGAAACTCTTGAGTATCTGTCAATAAAGTCTAGAATTAATAATTTAAAATCTTTAAAATAAAACACCAAAATGGTACTTAAAGTTAAAATATAGTTCTGTATCATTGATTTACCTGTGTCGTGTATAATATATTCTGGATACTATCCTTGTATTCATCTGTAAATTCTTGTAGAGTTTTATTGAGACCATCAACCAAATTTAATGTTGTATTAACGTTTTCTGTTGTGATATATTTCTTCATCTTTGTTTCCATCTCATTTAATCTGACACTGAGCTGCTCTGTTTGGTTCTGTGTGTTGGCTAACATTGTTTGGATGGATTCGTTTAAAACAGCCAAACTATTTATATTTAACTTTGTTTGTGTATTTAGTTTGTTTTCCAATATTTGTAGCGTTTTGTTTACATCAATAGATAAATTTTGTATCTTTTTATCCATCATGTTTTCAAATTTATTTGTCGGAATCAGATAAAAATCGTTCTTGAAAACTGTATCTTCAAGACTAAATCTCTTCTCTGTAGTTGACTTATCGCCACCAGAATGTAACATCTGTAATGACATTGTCATGTCTGCACCTTTTAGTCTGTCTGGGTCTTCAAACGATTTGAGAAAATCGGCCAATGTGTCAACAGATTTAACATAGTCAGATGTTTTAGCTTTCAAGTTCATTATTATATAAGATTCACGTGATTTTTTCTGTAAGCTGTCGGTCTCTTTCCCAATACTGTCAATGGATCCGGTTTTGTTCACATAATGTATTTCACATAGGAAAATACCCCCATTGCAGTCTGAATGTTTTGATAAAAATAGGACAATTTCCGCAAAACTTTTAGATATATTTCTTTTAATTCCCCTTTTATTGTAATCTTGAAGGTTTGAATCTGCTTCTGAAATAGACGCCACCAAAATCTTCCCCTCTGGTTCACTGATCCTATAGACTGACATGTTGACAAGAGTTGATATCTGAGTGTTTTCTCTTATGTTTTCTGTACACTGGAGTTGTGCACAAAATAAATCCTTGCCGTGGTAAAAATATTCTCTGTGTATATCTATTTTTAAACCTAGAAATAAATTATGTTTAACACTGTATATATGTACAAAATATGACAATACTAATTAAGTTATAGTTAAACTATTTTGTTTCATAATGTATACTCGAAGCACATGTAGCAACAATGTTTTGAAATTTAACAAAATGTAATAATGTTGAAGTAAAAATAAGTGTAATTCACAAATCTCGACGTTTTACACCTCCCTGATACTGAAAAACATAGTTTTACAATTTTGATGATTTAAGTACCAATACAGCTAGGTTGATAAAATTTCATATATAAGTATTATATCAAATTTTTTTATCAGATTTCTTGCACGATTTTAATACTTCCTGTGTACTTCGTATAAGTCAAAGTAAAAAAGTGAAAATAATAATAAATAATATATTAACAAATTTACCACTGCATGAAAGAATATTTACTAGTATATTCACAAGTAACAAACTAGAAAACATTGTGATGCGGGTGTGAGGCTATCGATTGTAAATTTTAAAACTGCTAGAACACAACGTATATCTTATGCGAGCGAATCCAACTATCATTACACGTACACTGATGGGTTTAAATAGCCTTACGTTCACGTGTTAACATCATTATCTTTGTGACGTCACTTGATGAGTTTAATTAAGTTTTGATTATGGGCTTGGCAAGTTTGTTAGTTTTTTATTTTAAAATAAACACAGGAAGTGGGTAGCTTAACCCATATATTACAATGGAAAAAAACTTAGTCGGGATGTTGACATGTGAAATGTGGATGTAAAATTCTGCGGGAATAATAGTTTTAAATCTAAAATATTGGGAATATAAAATTAATTTTTCGGGAACCGAATACATATTTATTGGTTTTTTTGTTAAAATATTTTAAGGTTTTTAATTATAGATGACTATGATTAATCCAAAGGCATTTGTTTATATTTTGGATTTGCCTACATAGTCAAAATCTAATGAAAATAATTTAATACTATATTATAATTTCAGTTGGTCTTCTTATGTCTGGTATGTAGCCTATATGATTTGACAATTATTATATCTTAAACCAATTAATATTTTTTTATTAAATGACACGAACATTATAAGTCTTACCTCACATAATTGTCTGCTTACCTTTACAGATTGGAATTAAACAATTACCTGGCTCATTATCAAAGTTGAGAAAACCTTTAAAAAAACTTGTATACGCTACTGTCAGCAACTCCAACTCTTGTATATCTAACCAAAGTTAAACAATCGCCAACACCTTCGTGTATGTAATATGTCACGTAGACATGTATAAACATATGAGGCTCAGCTATAAATAACGCAGCTATTTTCAAGGCCATTTTGCACATCTAAAATATAATTAAAGCAATTTTGTGTTTTAGTTAGTTATGTATAATCAAACGAGACGGTAAAACTACACCAGAAAAAAAATAAATTAAATAAACAATCATTCTTTGTCTTTTTACTTTCTCTTATTCTAAGCATAGAGAAAGTAATGTAACCGTGAAAATATGAAATCGATATTTTGACAAATTTCGATTTTATATTTCACCTCAATTTTAATGGGCGATATTGCTACGCAGAGTGGCCACCCCTGCCTTACTTAGTTGTCTGTGGCGCCACCTACCGCTGGTTAGCCAGGGAGAGATAAAAGTTTTCGAACTAAATCAACTGTTGTGAACGGGATTTCCATTGATAACAAAAAACATGGCGGCTATTATTCGAGTGTTAAATAGTCTTTTAAGAGGCGCAAATCGAAAGTTTGAGGGGGGGGGGGGGGGAGTGCAAATCGAAAATTGAAAAATTGAAAGTTTGTCCCCGGGAAGGGTCGCTACGCCTCTGGGGGTTGCCGCGCCGGCACTGATTGATATTGAAAATATGATAGTCTACTTGTCTTAAAGTAAGTAGCCTATTTAATAGGCCTAATTTAGTAATTAATTCCTAATTCTTAAGTCTACAATCAACTACACTGTAAAATAAAAGAAACTAGATCTAGAAATCTAGACTCTAGCTCTAGATCTAGGCTATACTTCATAATTAAATTTAGGCTTGATGTACGACTGAAATCTTGTATAAATCTCATATTTTATAAAAAAAAATTATTATTATACAGGGTCTAATCCTACGTCAAAAAACATGTGTATTCTAGATCTATCTATATAAAATATAATATATTTGTGTGTGTGTGTTATTTTAAAATTAATTTACATAAAACAACTCATCGTCGGAGTTTGTTTTGATTCCAAAAGCGAAAGTAGATTTCATAACTAAAAAAAAATATTCACATTTGGTTTGAAAAAAAAAAATGCTAGCTGGCAACTACCGGAACGAGACTTAAAGAAAGCGCCGGTAGGTGGCGCCACAGAAAACTAAGTAATATTTTCTTATAGGCAGGGGTGGCCACTCTGCGTAGCAATATGCCCATTAACATAATTAATCGGTCGCCAATAAAAATGATTTTTTTGGAAAGAAAAAAACGCGTTTCTCTTTAAATGGCTACTTAGCCCCACACATCTATGTCTTAGTAACGCTGTGGGTGCTCCCCCTTTATAACGGGTTGTCGTTACCCAGTTCACATTTGCTTTGAAAAATTTCGTCTCCTAGAGCCAGGAACCATTCAAACACAAGGCGGGTGCTATGAGTTTGGCTCAGATGTTCGTCGTCTTGTCAAATTTTATTTTTCATTTTATTGTTCTTATATTGATTTGTTAATAATGGGTATTGTTTTGGTATGGAGGATCATTAAAGTAGTAAGTAAAGTTCCCTTTCAAACCTGACGGTTTATGGGGCAAGTAAAGTACATATCACTTGTTTCTGTGACATCGGCATATGAAGAGATAGCGTGGACAGCACTATGCCCAGGCGCCTTTATTTTCCCTAACGAGAGTTAGGTACCCATCAGAGTTGGGTGGACTCAGTGACGGTCTACTGACTTGAACCCGGATTCGAACTCGAGACCAACGGGTTAGCAGTCCAGCTATGGAGGATCATTGGATTACCTTTAAAAGCAGCAATGTTTTAGTGGAAAGCATCAACGATTTCATGTGATACTGAACGTGTAGTTCTTAACTTTATTGCTACAGTTTATTTAGCGTGTCTAACAAACAAATTATTATAACAAGTGCACAAAAAAGTTCATTGTTTTATTTATAAAAGCATTGAGCAGCTATAACAAAATAAACTAATTTAACCATATATTTTTAAATGACAACAAAACTTAGTAAAATAACGAAAACGAGGCCTAGCTTGTTTGGAAGAAATTATTACCAAGGCAATGACACAAAAGTAGGTCAAGAGACAACCTACCCTTAGTCGGAATAACGTAGTTTTATAATTGTATGTATGTCGGTGTATGTGTGTTTGTTTGTGAACACGATAACTTCAGCATCGTTTCAGTAAGGTTAAAGAAATTTCAGATAGAAGTATTATGTCAAATCTGAAGCTCTTTTTCAACTTTTGAGCGATTTCCGGTAAACGGAAGTTATATTTCATCTATTTCCGGTTTCTCGAAAGTCAATAATTTGAGAACCGTTTGTGTTAGGTATACGAAATTTCACGTATAAGTATTTCATTGTATACACAGGTTTTTATCAAATATTATACGATATTTGGTAAAGGAAATGGTACTAATCGCCGTAGGAACACGATAACTTGAGATGTCTCATTAAGAGGCGTAGCGGGGAATAAAGCGGGTGGGGCGACCGCCCAGGGCGCTGACCTCAGGGGAGCCAAACGGGGTAGAAAAATATAATTAAAAAGCTTTTTTTGAGCTACATTAATAAATTACACACCGTCGAAGTTAATAAAATAAACTGCTACTTGGCTTTATGGACTGTGTTACATTTACTACAACAGACACAGTTTCTTCAGTTAACCTTGATGCTTTATTACATTAGGCAACATAATTTGTTTTGACTAGACAACATAGATGACACGACTTGTCTCTGGGTCTGTCTGTTGTTAACTAACTCACAGGTACACATCAGCTACACATTCGCTACACGGTAAACACTCAAGGGACGTAACCATAATATATACAATACAAGGGACGTAATAAAACACTAACAAGACATAACGTAACAGACTGTTTTCTACGTTAGTCTTTATTTCTAATTGTACAATTGTGGGTATTTATTGATGTGGGTTGAGTTATTTTTGTAGGATATTTATAAACGTTAAAAGCATTATGATTTATTACAATAGTAAGTAAAAATACTATAATAAATACAAAACAATACGTATTCTGTTAAATGCGGTATATATATATATATATATATATATATATATATATATATATATATATATATATATATATATATATAAATTATGGATGCCAAATTGAAATGCCTCAAAACATTACAATTTTAAACGTATGAAAGAAATAATAAGTAATTATAAAAAATGTAATTTTTTGTTGGGCCTAGAGAAGTTATACATTTTTTAAAATTGTGTTCTTAAAAACTCTAGATCCGTATGTTTAAGTTAATTTTGCAATCAGCTGAGAGCTAGAAATTAGGATGCGCATGCGCACTGATCTAAAAATAAATTCAGATTTCCTTGACCCAGAACATAAAAAGAGTACTGGTATTGTATTCTGCAGCTCAGATGTTCTATATACCCATAACAAGTTTAGTATACATTAAAGTAGGTCAAGTCTAGTATACATGTCCTAAGTGTAAATGCGGTGTTTAACTTGTTGAAAAATCTGTTTTTATATTTCATTTTATTTTACATTACTTTTAACATAATGCATGCTATTTTCCCGCTTTTTACGAGTCATAGTCGACAATGTTTAAGAGGTGATTTCATTACAAATTTTAATTACACTTGATTCCTTGTGCTAAGTGGTTACGCTTTCATCTTGCTTTATTAATACTGGTCAAACAAAGATCAATTAACGGTGGTCAAACAAAG